TTTAATATATTTTAAATATTTAAATGTTAATTATAGTAATATTTTAATATTTAATAGGAATTTTATTGTGATTAGACTGACAAGATTTAAACAAATACTTTCAATTTAAATTTTCCCCTTAGGGGGTAAGACACCAGGTTCTACACGGGGGAAAAGAAAATGATGAATTTCTAGTTTTGTACATTTTAAACTTTAAGTTTACAGAAAACATGAAAAAGTTCCGAACCGATCAATCGTGAAACTCATCATGTAAATTTGAAAGATATGGAGTCAGAGGGCAGACACGTACGGACATCAGAAGGCGTTTTTCGTCTAATGTTCATCGTATATAACGCTGTAACTCTCCGTTTCCGTTCTTGGTCTTCTCCTTCGGGAGCTCCGTGAGGTCGTTATCCCCAAGGAACATGTTGGTCAGCGTCTCCCGCATGATGGACCAATCCCCCTCGCCATCGACGGTCGTGAGTGACGAAATCTGATTGCTGTAACGTGGGAAAGGCGGCTTAGTCCCTTTTGTCCAATCAGCAAAGCGTTCTTATCTACCGGAGGCGTCACCTCAATTCCGGAGAGAGTAAACTTCCCTTAATGCAATCAGTCACAAATGCAGAGCGGAGGAACATGAGATCGTTCGACACTACAAACGATAACTTCTAGAAGAGCCAATGACAATTCCTCTTGGTTCCGACAGCCACGAGGACGCACCGACGTAAATGAGAGCGTTGCAAAGTCTTTGCCTTCACAGAGCTTGCTACATTACACGCATAATATATGAAAAGTGATGTAAGATGCTTCTCGCCTCCTAATAAAGACTCATCTTACAGAACATCTTGCGATGGAAATGAACTTTCTGGAGTGGAGACCTTCATGAGAACCTAACAGTAGCTCAGGCAAATAAAAAAATCATCCTCTCTTGTATAAAACCTGAAATCCTTCCATTTGGCCCAAATATTTTCAGTACCTTTTTATCAAATACTTTCAATTTATGAGATGATAAAGTTGCGTCATATTGTGATAAATATATATTTGTTTAAATCTTGTCAGTCTAATCACAATAAAATTCAACATGTCGTGTAAAAAAGTGATGATCTAATGTAAATCGAACATTTCGATAGAGAACATCATTTAATATATTTTAAATATTTAAATGTTAATTATAGTAATATTTTAATATTTAATAGGAATTTTATTG